GATGTTTTGAAGCCATTTCTTCAGAAGCTCCTGGTTCTTCAATGGGAATCTATATAAGTTATAAGAGACATACAATCATACAATTACAATGCATGACGTCTTTTCACTACTTGTGCATTTGGTTGTCTATTCTTCTTTTAATCATGATAAGCAAAACATTAGCGAGCATATATATTGATATAGTATTGTTTATTTTATACACTAGTACTGTTGACTGTAGGCCTACTAGTACTACTACTTTGCCCATAAAATCTAAAATAATAATTTATAATAGCCTACTTTTACTAAGTACTACCTCGGCCTACAAGTACTACTATCATTTTACTTTGTTCTGTACTATCATAATAAAGACTAATACTACTATAATTTTAATAGTTTTATTAATAGTACTAATAGAATATTCACTCAGACTCGACGTCTAGTCAACAAGTGCTCGATAATGGATCATGATTTTTCATGCATGGATAAGTTAACAAATTCAGCTGGATCTTGAAAATTAAATCCTATTCAAGCTAAGTTAAATGAAACTCAAACTATCACATACCGGTGAAAGGTGATTCCTTGCTCTCTGGATTGTTTTGAATCTTTTGTGGACAATTAATGCAGCACAGCAAGGTATTTTGTGATGATTTTCTTCTTCTGCCGACAAGAACTAAGATGAGAGGTGCGTAGGCAAGGGCATTTGTTACGGCTCTTATAAGAACGCAAAGGTCCATTGTAACAATATATATATAGAATGTTTATTAGATACTTTATACAACAGGATACAGTTCCCTCCAACTCTTAACTGACAATCCTCTGACTACTAACAAATCTCTTGCTCTCTTGACTGTCTCTCACTGACTCTGACTGACCTCTAGCTAACTCACATTGTCTACAAACACTACTTTTCTCCACTGGCTTAACAAGTGAGCCCCTACAAGCAAGCTGAAGAATACTTTACAAGGCAAATAGTTACACAAAAATTCAATACACATTGTCCAAGACAAATGTTCACATAACCCAGTGAAACAAAATTTACATGGCAACACCTCTCAACAAACCCAAAACCCTCAATACGTTCAAAGCGCTCCCGGCTCTCATGACATAATACAATTTTATAATACACATCAAAAACAAAATTAAAACATCCCCCACCTAAACCCAAATGACATAATTTATTATGAAAAACATTATTTCTATCCCCTGGTCCCACATCAGGACAAAAGGTCACCTCCTCCACGGACTCAAAGTGACAACGGTCAACAACAAGACTGAGTCTAAACCAGACCCACTACTACACTGGCTCTCACACCTCGAGCAACCAGTGACACCACTTAACTCAGCGCATGGACTACGATCCTCGTAGCTCCATCTGAGGTCATTACCAATGACTTCCACTTTATTTACTCTGTGTCCCCCTATCGGGACTGCCCTTGACCAGTTCACGACCTCCACGTCGTGCTCACCGTAGCTTGTCCAGGTTCTGACACATTCAAAATCACAACACACACTTTCGTCAACAACTGCCTCTTGCATTAAATGAAAATCTCTTTTCAGTAAAAAATTTAAATTTCTCTGTTGTACATTAAACGACTCTTGTACATTATAAGTATAAGCAAAAGCTGCATCAAAATCATCTTGTCCATCAAGACAGTTACTATTACTAACGTGTGGAACATCACTAACACTATTACTAACGTGTGGAACATCCATACCAAAATCACCACGTGGAGTTATATCACTGAACACCCGCACCAAAAAACTCTATTTCCCCTTGTACCTCTACATCGTTTGCTTCAACTATGCTGACCTACTCCCTCGAAACTAAAAAAAACTCCTCGCCCCTACACTCAGTTATGATTGCCTTATTTTCATCGGGATAGTTGATCTCTCCCAGAAAATCTGACATTTTCTCAGTGACCTCTTTTTCCTCTGCTAACAAAATACCTCTTTCCTTATCATTTTTCCAAGTTTCCAATTTATCCAACGGAATAATCCCCCTCTTATCTGCCCCTGTATCTTCAAAATACTCTTCAACTATTCCTAATTGAAAAAATTCCCATTCATCATTTCTCATATTGTTGTCCCCCTTGTCAGTTTTATTTTTATTATCTGCCAGCTCTACCCACGACTTGCTCTCTCTGCACCATCTCAGCTCATCCCCTGTACTATTGACCTCATCTATTTTTTCCCAACTATTCTTCTTATAATTCCACCTCAAAGAATCCCTGTTATTTTCCCCTTCTATCATGTAAACCTTATCTTCTCTTCCCCCTTCTGACCAGTCATTTCTATCGTACGGATTTAAACAATTTATACTAACTACCCCGTCTATTCTATTCTCTTCAACAAAGTCGGTACTATTCTGGTCTATCTCCTTTTCCTTGCCTAACAAAATAACTTCACGGTCCTCAACTTCTACCAAAGACTCCCCAGTTTCCTTAACGTTATTTCTACCAATTCTAGCTACTTGTCTCCCAGCCCTTTCTTCCTCTCTCCTCCATGCCTCAACCTCACCTCTTGCTTCTTTATTAGGTTCCTTTTCCACTCTCGATTTTCCCGTGCTATTTTCTCTTCTAGCT